TTTCTGACGATAATTGTAAAATCCGTCTAATTATTTATTTTTTGGGGTTTGCATTCATCATTTAACATGATTACGAAATTTTTTCTACACACACAATATTTTGTGGGATCCGCATGTTTTGAAGAAAAAAAAATTACGGCACACAAAACGAATCTCTCTAACATAACACAATTATTTTTCCTACGACATAACTCTTATAAAACCCTTATTTTTTTTCCCTAACAACGATAATTGCAATATTTGTCTGTCTAATTTCTTTTGGTAAAATCATCCGTCTACTTATTATTTTTTTTCCCCTAACAACGATCATTGTACGCGGAATTAATGATAATGCCTTTGTCGCTTCTGGGAAATTCTACGTACGCTGTTTGGTGTTGAGAGTTGGAACGGAAGGAATATGAATACTTAATTGGAAACTCCATGGATGCATGCAAAACATAATATGAGCGAGGGTTCACACGGAAAGTTCGATCATTGATAAAAATGATCATTTTAATTAAAACTAATATTTTTTTGCTTAAAACTTAATAAATTGAATAATAGAATATCTTTGATAAAAGCTTTAAACTACATTGATTTATTGCTCTTCAGTTTATAACAGCAGATTTCATGCTCCATGCATTGAGGTTCTCCACTGTTATGGGCTCAGTACCGTTGTTGAACACAAACAAGTGAGCTTGATTTGTCAATGCTAGCTCTGGATAAACCCTAGACAAGATGTTTGTTTTCCCTCCTGCTCCAAAACTCTCCACTACTGAGTGATCAATCTGCCATTTAGTTGAAAAATCAGAATCAATAAGTATATATAGTTATTATGGGAACTCATAAATTAATATCATACGTAAACACCAAATGGAGGAGGAAGAGTTGCATTTACACTTACCAAACTCCTAAGAGAAAGTTTCTTAGTAGATAAATCCACATCTACAAAGCCGGCAAATGATGGTTTGTACAATTCACTCTTCAAAGAGGAACTGTTTCAGAAAATGTAGAAAAAAAAATCAAAAAAATTAAACAAAAGACATGATGAGAAAAATCAAAATTAGAAATCCTCTCATCCCCATTTGAATTATACTAATTACCTCCTCGCATCAGAGCACAAAAGAATCATATGCTTGTTTGGAGCTTTGAAAATTCTGAAGAACACAGGAGTGAACTCCTCCAGATTTTCTGAAGCCAAAGTCAGAAGCCCAAATGGTCCAAGCCCACCTTGAGTTTTTGAATCCTTTAGGGCACAAAGATCTTGTGCGTTCACCCAGCTAGGGTCAAATGCCTCTGCCTTATCCAAGCTTGAAAATGAGAAAGTAACTTCCACATCGGCCTGCACTTACATATATAATATCATTAATTTAATTATGCACATACACATACACATAGATATATATAATAATGCTTAATTAAAAATCCAACCTGGGCAGCGGTAATTCCTTCTACTTCAACATAATTTCCCTTTTCGAGCTTTTTGTTGCACATCTTAACTTCTTTTTCTCTAAGACAATTTAATTCTTCAACAGGCCATTGTACCAATTGTCTCCCATTAGAATCAAGCCACAATGTTCTTGGAATTGCCTGTAGATTTTAAAGTAAAAAACGTGCATATATATATATATATATATATATATATATATATATATATATATATATATATTTGAAAAAAATGACTTGAACTATACACAAGTATTTAAAAAAATTTGAACTATAACTAGATGCATCATCAATTGAAACAAATCTAATTAAATACAAAGTTACTATTTTAATTTTTAACCTGAATTCCTGCCCAACCTTTCTTGACATCATCATTATGGGTATCATCTTGGAAATCAGACTCGTTGGCCCAGCCCCACAAGATCCTTCTATTCCTGCTTGGGTCAAAAAATGACTTGGAAGCATAGAAGTTACCATAGTCATATCTAAGGCCACCCCAACCATCCTCTGAAGTGTTATCCGGGATATACTTGTCCTTATTCGGAAAATAAGTTCCTAATGTGTAATAATCGAACCTAGTCAAGTCAAGGCTATTTTTTAAAACATGCTTAACATTATTCCCAACCATGGATGTCTCCAACCCTTCTTCCCCCTTCAATGCAACCGGGTAAAAGTTGGGACACTCCCACATACCCGTGTTTGCTTTGGAATGGATCGGGTGTTTGGCCCGGATCCACTTCACAAAATCCTTGCTCCTATACAAGTAGGACATTCCTTTATCCTTCCTTCTGCTACCAACCAACATCCTCCAATGCCCGTCCTTGCTCCACCAAGCTGTTGTCGGGTCACGGAACGCACTGCCATTCACGCCGGGTTCTGCAATCACAATTGGGTTGAACTGATCGGGTTTTATCCATTTTTTGAGAAGCGGGTCAGATGCATTTTCCGGTACGGCATAGCATTGCACCTGAGTGTTATTCTCGTCAATAATTCCTGTGTAGAGAATCACAGGTCCTTTACCCGGGAGGATAGTGGCTGACCCGGACCAGCACCCGAATTTGTCAAAGGGTTTGGATGGATAAATAGCGGGTTCAAGTGCTTTCCAATTAATAAGATCCTTTGATACAGAATGGGCCCACACAATATTACCCCACACAGAACCGTTGGGGTTATATTGATAGAACAGGTGGTAGTATCCATTGTAATACATGGGTCCTGCATTGTTTGCATTTCCGAATTAATATATAAGATTGTAAAATACAAATATTTGGTGATTGAAATGAAATTAAAAAAATAAGAAAAAAAAATTCCACTTACCATTTGGATCTAAATGTGATTTATGCGTCCATTTCATCAATTTAGGCACCATGAAAGAATTAGAAAGCAAAAGTTAGCATTATTGATAATTCTGAGGACACTAATTTACTGAAGCAAACAAACAGTTTGAACAACAATCCACCAACAAATCAAGGAAAACCCGTTTTAAGCAACGTAACCAAGAGTTAAATAGTAAATTTACCTAAATAATAATGTAGACAATATAGGGCCAACTCGCAAAATCCACAATGTTGCTAGAGTCATTTTAATGTCACAATAGATTAAGATTATTTGAAAGCAACATGGCTTATAAGGTAGGGAAGAAAAACAGAGATAAACTATGACATATTTCATCACCATAAAGTTGCAGTGGGAAAAAAAATAAAAAATTCTGCGAGTGAAAAAAATCTGTGGGATGCGAAATTCAGGTGCACACAACATAGAGGGTAAGACAACTTCATGTTCAGTTAAGTACCTAATCAGATCCTATCTCTCCTGTGCGTTTAAAGGAATAAAAAGCCTAAATTGAAGAACAGGATTCTACATTTTCACTTCATTTAATTCCCTTTCAAATTTCTGGACCATTAAACGGAAAGCTCCACAAGCTTTATTTTTCAACACTAAGATCTTAAACATAAAAGCACATATGGAAAAAACACCCAAAAAAAAAGAAAAAAATAACATATTGTCTATTTACAAAATTACAATTCCTTAACAGGTAGAGGGAGAGAGGGTGCATCATTCCTTTAAGGCCACCGTTCAAGCACATATGGTTAAATCGTCGTACGCTTGTTATGTCATCATGTATATTTATATGGAAGATACTACTCTCAAAATGTTGTAAATATGGCAACGTTAAAAATTGTATAAAAAAATTAAGAAAGATACCAACCGTTGATCCAATTCCTAGGAGGTTGAAAATGATATCCAGTTCTGTGTTGTTCACTCACGGAAATCGCTGTAAGAGATTGAAGATGAGGGTATAGTTTATGAAAAGCTTCAGCGCCATTATTTATCAATATCACACTAAGGGAGAAAAATACTAGAGAGATAGCGAGACTCTTCGGGAGAACCATTAGGAAAAAAACAATTACAAGATCAAGCAAAAACAACAAGGGAAGAAGATTTGCATAAATTGCTTCGTAGAAAATAAAAATATAAACAATGAATAAATAGAGGTGTTGTGGACCTCAACGAGAGATTCATATTCTATAAGATCCAAAAAAAGGTAATAGAAAAAAGAAACTAAAAGAAATAAAGGAAATAATCATTGATTGACAGGGCAAAAAAATTAAAATAATGTAATTAATTAAAATAATTACGCATTTAATGTTGTTTTGTTAAAAATTACACATCTGTTGCACAATGAGACGCCCAAAGAGGGCGTCTCATGTGCAACCTATATATACCCCACTTTCCTTTTTTCACTCCTTACTCATTTACCTCTCCAACCTCTCTCTAACCTCTCTCTAACCGCGGTACGTAGCGAAGCTCTGCCAACGTAGGTAAGGTCATAATACCTCATATGTATACATTTAAATTACAGTGCTAGTTAGTAATACATGTTAGGATTGATTGTATATTAGAGACTTGGAACATTAGGATAGTCATTTAGAAATTTTGTGTCATGCTATGAATGTTGTAATGATATAGTAATATTATTATTACGTAGTTATTATTATTACTGATTTTTAATTATGTATTAGGGTTTAGCATATTAATTAGTGATTTATAAATAGTGTTAGAGACTTTGTAAATTTCGTATGTATGATGTTATTAATGCGGGAGTGCATAACTTTGTAGTTAGTTAAGGATAATGGCTGAGTCATCATCTTCTTCGGGATCTGATTCAGATGTAGAGCCCACCGATCCCAGCATGTGGATCATACCTGGACCCTACAGGTGGGAGGTCCTTCGTCAGAGGACGCAGAAAGGTCATATTTCACAGCGTGTGTGGAATACTGAGCATGTAAGAAAGATTAAGACGAGGCGTGGGAAGCCACAAGGGGGCCCACCTACCGGTGCTATTCCACAGGTTGTGGAAAAGTACCTCAGACAGGCGGGTTTCATACATGTTGCCAGGATGCAACATATCCAGGTATGTTATTTATGTCATTTTGTATTTATGTAATTAAATAATGTAATTCGTTAACACGTGATAATTGCGTAATTTATCACAGATAGATACATTTTTAATTAGTGCTCTGATCGAGAGGTGGAGACCAGAGACACATACCTTTCACATGACCCAAGGTGAGATGACAATCACCTTACAAGATGTGGCAGGCATCTTGGGCTTGCCGACCGACGGTACTGTCATCATCGGATCGACCTCTGAGGATTGGCACGCTGCTTGTGCTGGTGTTTTTGGACATGTTCCAGAGGCCGGTGAGTTCCATCATTCTGGCGACCTCCGCATCTCATTCTTGGATCGACATTATACCCGGTGGACTGATCATGAAGGGAATCATGCTGCCGAGATCTACTTCACAAAAGCTCACATTGCGCGGATGTTGGGGACTTGGTTGCTGGCGGACAAGTCTGGAGGTAGCAATTTTGGTTGTCGGCTTGTCCCGTTGCTAGGTGGAGGATTTGAGGACATTGGCCGATTCAGCTGGGGATCTGCAGTTTTGACACACTTGTTCAGGAATTTGTGTGAAGTGACAGATGCCCGTCAAAGCGACATGGGTGGTTGCCATATTCTCCTTCAAATTTGGGCATGGATACGATTCCCACCCATTGCTCCACCCCTTCCTCCTCATCCACAGCCGGGCACACATTATGGATGCCGGTATGATTTATTTACTTCATTTGATTTCGATAATGTATGGTTAATACTGTATGTACTAACTGTATACTTCTTGACTTTGGACGATTATGTATGGTTGATAATGTTTTTGATTGACAGGTTTAATGCTGTACAAAAGTTTAAACCTCATGAGGTCACCCATTATCGGGCAACATTGGACACACTCTGTAGAGATGAGGTTTGGTGTTAGATACTTACGGTGTTGTTATTTGTCTATGGGTTTATTTTTTTTTTGTAACTCTATATATTGTTTCACATTTCGTTTGTAGGTGGTGTGGCAGCCGTATATAGAATATGAGTGGCTTGACGTGACTCCAGAGCAGCAGTATCTGTGGCTAGCTCCCACACCTATTATCTACTTCCACACAGTTGAGGCATGTCAACCGGATAGGTGCATGCGACAGTTTGGTCTTAATCAACCCATCCCGGAAAAATCTAGAAAATTGAGAGGAATACATGATCATACTCTACGGGGGAAGGTTGAAGAGAACTGGAGACGTAAGCTCAGGGCTCACATTGATCGATGGAATACTAGGATTCAGCATATTGTACTGCCACCTCCATTATATGGTTTGATGTCACCTAATCATGAGTACATGGAGTGGTTCAGAGAGAGGGGAAAACGCTACATATCACGGAGGGCAGCAAAGATAGGGCGCATGGTGAGTTTTGTACTTATTTTACATTTGTTTCAAATTACAACTAACATTTTTTCGTAATATGCAGATTGACGGTCTTGAAATGCTGTATCATGCAACAACGGCGGAGGAGTTTCCTCGATTTGGACTACAGTATATCCACGAGGAGATAGGCCGAATTATTGGGATGTTTCGTGAGAGTTCACGAGTTGATGAGCCTGGACCTGAGGCACCCCCCGTGCAGACTCAGCCTGATCCTCAGTTGATCGTGGATGTTCCTCGTAATAGACAGGAGGGACGGGGATTAGGACGTACACGTGAGAGAGTTGCCGATGAGCCTGTCCCGATTATAGCACCTAGACTAGTGGTCGAGACTCAGGGATGGTTTAGACCTCCAGCATTTGGTCCTACTTACGGGTCACAGCCGATTTATCATCACGGATCGCAGTATGCGGCAGGTCCTAGTCAGGCGGCGTCTGAGCACCCTTACATGAGCGGGCATGAGCCAGTTTTCCAGGCTAGTCCGATGGCTATGGCAGGAGCGGATCCGGCATCCTCACAGCCTGATTTCCAGCCCTATTCACAGGGACTTGATGCCGATTACCCCTTTTGGTCTGCAGAGGACACGATGGAGTTGTATCGCTCTGTAGGCCTTGTTGCAGAGAGCCATGACAGTGGGGAGACTCTAGCCACGGATTCTCACAGTCAGGGACACACCCCTTTTGATGTGCCGGGCAGCAGTGCAGGACCATCAGATGATTTCATCCGTGCGACGATGGATGACTTCCACACTCCACCTCCATAGGACCATCAGGGTGACCCAGTCTGGGACAGACGTATACTACCAGATAGGGATGCACGACATAGGCCATGGCCACCGTGGTCCTAGTTTCATTGACATTTTGTTTATTCATTATGTTGTGGACTGTTTCATATTGTTATTATTTTGTTCTTTTGTATATGTCATATGAGTGTAGCATGTTGTTATATTGTGGACGCTACATTATTATATTATTTGGACTATTCACTATATTTTGGTTATCGTTCTTTGCGGATTTATATTACGGTAACTAACAGCATCAGCTAATTAATAATTCAAGCTTAAAAACATACATAAACGGAAAGTAAAAAGTCCAACATAACGGACATTACAATTCATGCAATAACATAACCAACAGCAACAATATGAACATAATATGCAAATCATTCGTTTCTCCCACGACTTGGACATCGCCGACGATTATGGCCGCGTTCCTTGCAAAGTCCACACCTGATACGGCTCTGGCTTGTCTCAACTTCATCCATCTCGTTGCGGATGCGAGTTGACTTTGGACGACCTTTTGCACGCAACATAGTACAATCAGGAATAATCTTTGCACCACTAATTTCAGGTATTGCTTCCTCGTTTCCGATTGGCTCCCACGGAAAAGAATAAGCCTCGACCAAGTTATTTATCAAGAAGACGTCGTCAACGTAAGTGAACGCACTCTGCCTAACACTTAACGCAGCAGCAACAGCGTGACTACATGGATACTTAAAGGCCTTAAACTTTCCACACTGACAGTATCTCTGTGGGAGGTTGACAGAATATGAACGTTCCCAACCTGCGTCAACCTCGAATACAGTATATTCAACATTGTATGCACGAACGTGGTGGCCTGTTGCATCTACCTGGTTCTTCTTGACCAATTCAACAACATGTTTGGAGTGACGATGAGCTGATTGAAGTTGTGCAAGAGCATTTGTTCCTCTCTCAACAAAATATGCAACCAATCTGCTATATGTATGCTTAACCAATGCTGTTATAGGCATATTTCTGGCCCACTTCAAAACCCTATTGACAGATTCAGCCAAATTTGTTGTCATATGACCGTACCTCTCGCAAGATTCCTTTCAAAATCAACCATTGTTGGAGTATAACCTGCACAAATTGGACATAAATGAATTAAACATAAATTGACAGTCATAATGGAAAGAAATAATTAAGCATTCAATCAATGAGTATACCTAAATTCTTTAACATCCGCTTCAAATCTTCATTTCGAAACTTTTGATTGAAGTTACTTGC